AGCCTTTGATAGAATTGAGCATGGGGCAATGCTGAAAATCATGGAAAAGAAAGGCTTTGTCTCCAAGTGGAAACAATCTTCAACTCTGGAACATCTGCAGTACTTCTAAATGGCCATCCTGGGAAAGTTTTTCATTGTAGAAGAGGGGTGAGGCAAGGTGATCCCCTGTCACCTTTGTTGTTTGTTTTAGCTGCTGACCTTCTCCAAACCCTCATCAACAAGGCAAAAGATCAAGGCCTTCTGAAGCTCCCCTTGCCTACAGAATATTCCAATGATTTCCCCATTTTGCAATATGCTGATGACACTTTAATTATCATGGAGGGTTGTAGCAGGCAACTTTTCTTCCTTAAAGCTCGTCTTAACACCTTTGCTTCATCCACTTGGCTCAAAGTAAATTTTCAGAAGTCAGTGATAGTTCCAGTTAGTGTCCCAAATGAAAGGTTGAATCATCTTGCTGCCACCTTTGGATGTTCTATTGGCAATCTCCCCTTCACTTATCGGGACTCCCATTGGGACTAACAAAACCAAAAGTTGAAGAGTTCATGCCTCTAATTACCAGATGTGAAAGAAGGTTGGCCCGCACCTCCTTCTTCCTCTCTCAAGCTGGGAAGCTTCAATTATGCAACTCAGTATTCTCTGCTCTCCCAACCTTCTACATGAGCACTATCTCACTGCATGTCACAATAAGAGAGCAAATAGATAAGTATAGAAAGCACTATCTTTGGAGAGGAACTGATGACAGCAATAGAATAAATGCAAAGGCTGCTTGCACTAAACCCAAGAATGAGGGTGGACTAGGAGTTCTTGATCTCAAGACCCAAAATGAAGCTCTCCTAATTAAAAATCTTCATAAGTTTTTCAAAAAAGCTTATACTCCTTGGGTCCAACTTATCTAGGAGAAACATTATAAAAATGGAAAGCTCCTTGATCACATCAAGAGAGGATCCTTTTGGTCGAAGGACATCCTTAAACTTCTAGATAAGTTCAAAGGCATGGCCTCTGTCACAGCCTCTGATGGTTCATCCTGCCTCCTGTGGGAAGATTGCTGGTCTGGCCAACCCCTGAGGCTGACATTCCCTGAATTACATTCCTTTGCCAAGAAACCCAATATTTCACTAGTTGTAGCAGCCAATGTAGAATCAGCTTTCAATCTCTTCAATCTTCCTTTGTCTGTTGAACCCTTCCAGCAGCTCCAGCAGATTCAGAATATGCTGCAACCAATCCAGCAGAATGTCAACAACAATGGCAATGATATCTGGTATTATATTTGGGGCAGTCCAAAATTCTCTTCCAGGAAAGTATACATGCATCTGAAAGGTAACAGTGGGGCTCATCCAATATTGAAATGGCTCTGGAACTCTAGCTTCTTGCCAACACAAACACAAAACCTTCTTCTGGTTGCTTATACAAGATATAGACTCAGTACCCGTAATATCTTGAGAAGGAATACCCTGCCACTCGATGTAGGTTTTGCCAGCGATGTGTAGTGGGAAGAAAGGGAACCTTGGGCCAGCCATTGAGGTTTTAATTCCATGAACACGCATCTAACAGAGGGGATTTGAACCCCTCCAGGTAGGTCTTACCTGTGTTGTAGAAGTTGGTGGCTCCGTTAGTAAAAGACCAATCTTCCCATACCAATCATCTTCCTCGCCCACTCAATGAATCCATCCTCGATTGAACTAGGGCTTCGCTTCGCTCTTGCCTTCCTTCAGCTGTGCTCTTTGCATTGATAGTCATGAGGAAACAAGGGAACATCTCTTCCTTTGGTGTGAGTTTGCTAAGTCCTGCTGGAGCAGACTTGGAATTATTATTGATGAATCTCTTGATCCAATTGGGGTGTTTGAGAGCCTCAAAACCCAGCTCAGTGTACGTTTCTTTATGGAAATAATTGTCATTATGAGCTGGAGCATTTGGTCGATCAGAAACGATGCCATCTTCAGGGGCATTGGAGAAAGCAGCCAGTGATGCCTAGAAATTTTCAGATCAGTCTTTGGCCTACTCCTATGGTGTGCCAAGAAGAAATACTTCCCTCAAATTGAATTGTGGCTAGAGCATCTTGTGTAATTTTGCTTATCTTGTTTGTTTCTTTTTTTGTCTCTTGAGAGGGCTTTTTTGTATTTGTTCTCCTTGTATCTCTGTATGTCTCAGTTACCCTTTGTTTGGCTTCTTGTTTCTAATAAAATTTCAGTAGGGGTCTTGACCCCTCCTGTTCCCTCACAAAAAAAAAAAACGGGACATCAAAATGAAGCACTTCAAGATTTGGCATCACGGTAGAGGGTACATTTTTGCTGCATTTGCTTTTCCCAGAGCCAAAGGGCATAGCACCTTCTCTATTCCATGTATGTAGTGAAATGCTAGAGTCCTCATTGTTCTGCTGAAACTGGACCATTGTATTGATCTCAAAGTACCTCAGCTTCTGGAAGCAGCCTTCGCCGCTGGCATTAATATTAGTTGTTGTTACTGTGGGCTTGATTTCCAGATGGAGATAACTGAGCGATGGCAACCTAGCAAGGTGTATCATGTCCTGCTCATCCATAGTGTTCACACTCAGCTTCAAGTAGGACAGGTTGGGCAGACGAAAGGGATTGATGCATGACGGCACCTTAGAGAAGCGAATGGACATATTCAAATGACGGAGAGATCGTGGGAGCACAAAGCCTGCTGCTTCCCACGTGGCTGTGTCGACATGTGAAGAAACACCGTCCATAATTATCTGCTGGATCATTTGCAGATTGCTTACAGAGACAAGAAAATCTCTCTGCAAGCTGTTGTCCATGTCACGTGTATTATAAACAAAGTTCAAAATAGCGGGATTTAGCGGCCGCTATAACACTATTTAGCGGTTCAGAAGGTCCGACACTAAGCTACGACAGTTTTGGCGCTAGATTAATTTTTCCGCTATTAGCGGCTAATAGCGCGATATCTCCGCTAAATCGCAGTTCATTTAGCGCCTCTATTCTACGTGGGTTTCCATTTTCATCGGCCCAAATCACGCGCAGGCCCAAATCGCTGGGATATCTACCGATGGGAAGTAGTCACACGCATAACCCTAGCCATTCGACACTGTTTCTCCCGAGCTCGCGTAAGTGCTAGCGGCGCCGGCGCCGGATGCTGTTGTTGCTGTGACCGGCGAGCGGCGAGGGTGCAATACCGGTGAGGGGAGTCGGAAGTGCGGCGGCGACGAGCTACAGCACCGGCTGCTGCTGTTGCGGCGACTGCAAAGGGCAGCGGCAAGCGATGAGCTCGCAGGAGTGCAAGCGGCAGCGCCTGCTGCTGTTGCTGCGACGGCCATGTCCCAGTCCCAGCCAGAAGGCAAGATTCTTCAAACACTTTTCATTTTTCCTCTATTCTTTGCGTATTGGGCTGCTGGATGTGAATGGTAGTGAGTAGTGAGTGACGTAGTGCTGCATCTCATGTTCATGGTGAATTGAATAACTGATTGGCTTAGGATTTTTGTACTACTGCATTCAGCTTTCTAGTGCCGTTGATTGGTTTACTCTTTACTGTAAATAAATTGGCATTTATCCCATGAAGAAAGTGTAGTATCAGATCTGTTCTAGGTTGGTGCATTAAGCGTGCTACTGCTGCTGTTGATAGGATATTAAGTTTACTTTTTACTGTAAATACATTGGCTTAGGATTTTCTGTATTGCTGCTGTTGATTGGTTTACAGTTTACTGTAAATAAATTGGCATATATCCCATCAAGCAAGTAGAGTATCAGATCTGTTCTAGGTTGCTGCAGTAAGTTTGACCTCAGCAAATATAAGGAACAACAAGGGTCATTTGGACATGACATTGCCACAAGGCAGAGGAGAAATAAAGAATTCAACCCAGGTGAAAATTGTGAAACTAATGTGATTGATGAATTATCCAATATAATCCTTTTTGCTATCACAAGAGTTTAACTCTTTGCTTGTTTATGCAACAACATGGTGGCTGAATCATGGCACAACTACACCTAATTTGAGGCCGTTGGCGATAAAGATTCTAAGTTTGACATGTAGATCCTCTGGTTGTGAGAGGAAGTGGTTAGTATTTGAAAAGGTAATAAAAATAATTCTACTTCCACAACTCACCTACATGAATATATTTTGCATCGTTGTTCATTCCTTAAATTTTATTCATCTAAACAAAACTAGGTGCACATAAAAAGGCGCAATAGATTACTTCATGAATTCATGAAAGGATGAGAAACCTTGTATTTGTCAAATTTAACTCCAAACTAAGGCATAAGAAAGAGAACAAGAGTAGAGATCCCATAGAGAAGGAAATTAATGATGTGCTAGAGGATGAGAACAATGGGTTCATTACTAGATTAGAACCAAATGCAAATCAAAGTCAAGAAGATTAGGGATGTGCAGAGCAAAAGCACAAGGAGCATCACAGGGAGCATCAGCATCTCAAGCAAAAGACAAAAGGAAAAGGCCTATGCGCCATAGGAAGAAATTCAGGACAGGGGCATCTCTGATGAAGCCTCAGTCTGCAGCCTCTACTTCTGAATCAGAGGGAAATCAAGATGCTATGGTATCTACTAATACTGAAAATGATTAGGTGAGTACAACAAACTATTCAGATGCTGAAATGCATGTGTGATGTACGGATGTATCAGACTATGGCCTATGGCTCCATGCCTTATGTTTGTTTGTCTAATGTCTATCTATCACTGTTTAGTTGATATGCAGTGTAATGTCTGTCAACTTTGTATAAACTTTGAACTCATGTGTGTATGTGTCTATGTGATGTATGATGTATCATGTATGAACTATGAAGCTGTGATCTAATGTGTTAGTAAGACTTTGAACTACCTATCCCTAGTTACTTGGTAATTGGTATTTGTAATGTCTTCATCTTCTATGTTTATTTTGTGTAAAATTACCTAATATTTGATATATTTTTTGCTCAGCCGCTAAATGGCTTAGCCCGCTATTTAGCCCGCTATAGCCTTTCTTAGCTTTTGGGAGAGGCAGCCGCTAAGGGGCTTAGTCCGCTATTTAAAACTTTAATTATAAATTCTGAGCACCCTCAGTTCTCGCAGGCTGCCCAGCTCCTTTACAAAAATATTGGGGTTACCAAATATTCTTAGCTGCTCCAGGGATGTAAGCTTTCCAATACCATTGGGTACGCTCGTTGCAGCATGAAGGCACAACAGCTGTGTTGGTAGGACGATGCTTACTGGCAAGGTTCCATACACAACAAATGTCTGGAGTAACTTTAGATTCGTCATTTGATTTGTACTAACAAGCTGTGTTGGTAGGACGATGTTTCCACAGTTTATCCCAAGATACCTCAAGTGAAGTAAATAACCAAGATGCTCAAGATGGCAGCAGTCTTCCTTAAACATGCATTTTATTACGTCAAGCACGCGCAGAAGCCTAAAGCTGGGAAAGTGTGCGCAGAATCCTCAGACCATTCATCCTTTGGTTTACCCGCCAACAAGCTAGTCACTTTGATTATTGCTAATGGTATACCACCACATCTCTCCAGAATTTTATCAAATACATCATCTGGTTTGTTATCATGATATTGCCTGTCTGCACCAAATATCCTTGTATACAATAACTTCTTGGAGTTTTCATATGAAAGTGGTTTCAGCTTGTAAACCTCACCAGCTTCTTCAGCAACGTCAAACTTACGAGTAGTTGTGATTACTTTACTTCCACAACAATTCCCAATAAGTGCAAAATTGATTGTTTTGCAAGTCTCTACATCCCATACGTCATCAACAACAATAAAATACCTATCCAAATGAACGTTTAAGAAACATTGGTTAATAATGATTGTGGGAGCTTCTACAGAAGCAAGTACTTTACATTGCTAACATTAAAAACATTCGAATTATAAACCAAACACATTATCACAGTAGTAAAAACAAACTGTGTTGATGGTTTAGAATATTTTCTGCTGCAATTTCACTGAAATAAAGATAGTTGAGTAAATTCCAGAAATGAAACCTACCACTTTTGGCATTTATATGAGAAGTACATACCAAGGGTATATTTGGAAAAAAACTTATTTATAACCACATTGTTTTAGAAAACTATAACTTAATTATGTGTTGTATTATCAAAAGCTACATATTTAGGGGCACCTTATTGTAGATAATCTATGTGTTTAATGCCACGTTGCAACACAAAATAGCCGTAAAAGTGTATTTTTTTTCTTGAAAGATGCACCGAGATACATAGTTCTAACACAGATGCAGTTTGAAGTTATTGTATTCTAACAATTGCTAATATACTATCAGGGGCAGGTTCATATGTTTGTATAGATGAACATTTATGAAAAATAATATTCCGATCTTTGTAACAAGAAAGGATACACAGCCATTACTATAATACAAAAATGAAACATACAAAGAAAGAAGAATGAGACCTCGGAGGCACCTAGGTCTCAGACTCATCTTGCAGCTCAACATCACCTGTCTATTTACAATTGACTACTCGGAAATAGCTTGACATAGTTGTCCTTATTCTCTTACACCCCCCAAGTAATAGAGTCAAAGCCTCAAAAATTTTGTCGTCCTTCTGAAACGGCTATGAATGGTGCATCTAAAGCATCTCACATAGATCCAAAGTTTGCCTGTCCTCCACCAACCGGTAAGCTGGTAGAACATGACCTGATAACTACAAAGGATGACCGTTGAGCAATACATGATTTTATCCCACCGATACCCATCAATCTGCTAGAGCCTCCCTTCTCCTCCTATAATAATGGTCGACCAAAGGCAAAGACAAGACCTCGACTGTATCCACCAAGCCACCGCAAGTCCACTAATACAACCAACACCGTGAACAAAGGACATGCAAACGTATTAGCACCTCAACAAGGATGGGTTGTGCTGTTGTTGCTTGTCTGAAAGTCAGGACAATGTTTTGAGCTAGATATAGTACAGGGGAGGGGCAACAATACCCACCACAAAGATTTCGAGGAGAGGAACAACACGCATGGGCATCACTGTAGTCGAAACTGGCTAATGTCCAAGCATTGGTTTCATCACCGAGTCCATTTGACTAAGAGTTTTCATGTTTACAAACCGCTAGATCCCAAACTACTCAGAAACACCTAAACAGAAGGGCAACTATATATGGTTTGCCTCTAGTGGACCACAAATAGGACTCCGAGCTACTCTAGACTAACTACCATCTGTGTTTACGTCCTGGCTACAATTATGAGGGCATGCTCTCTATGGGCGACAAGCTAATCCCCGAACTACACAAGAACCACACACCACATGGAAATTTAGTCTGAATTAATGATATGGCTCCTGATGAGTCACTAGCCTAGTCACCACAAGCTAAACAATTGGATGCGACAAGGATTTACACACTATTAACTTTAAGTTTAAGGGCACACCTACTCATGGTTCATTACCATATGAGGAACATGCATATTCTTTATAGGCACCCGTTGAATCCTTCGTGATCTCCCTTCGAAGAGGCGCACCAAGGAGGACATCCGTCAAGAAAATTCTACAAGGAAGGTGGTTGGAGCACTTGGCCTCAGTCCGAGATGTCATCAAGATTGCAACAGCTCAATCATGAAGGACTCAAGGGGATTATGTGGAGGACATGACCCCAAGGTATCATCATGGACGAAATAATAAGTGCCCTAGATGCAGGGTGGGTGCTACTACAGAAGAGATTATTATCAGAGACAGTCCAAATGGGTTTCAAGAGGCGGGTATCATGCTCGTCTCCCTTCTATGGTTTGTGTTAATCAATGAATCGCGGATACAGGACACATGCCCACCTCTATAAATCCAAAAAAAAACAAAAAAAGGGGCCTTGTTGTACCCAACTTGCGGGTCCACTTCCGAGCACGCAATGGAGTCTACTTGCCAAGCCCGCGGCCTAGCGCATGTGCATATACAGTATGTGGGGCCCTATGCTACCGCTGGATGGGCAGCCCTACACTATGCTCTTGTGTGCCCGCCACCACCAAGCATCCCACTCCAACCCTACAAAGGCCACAACGGTCATCGAGCCACGACCTGTGATAGAGGAGAGCGACAAAGATAGAGGACATGAGGGGTTGAGATACAAAAGCCTGAACTCGAAGAGAAGCTGAACTCACCTCAGCGGATCAACTTGCCCACTTGCCAGATTCTATGTCACCATGCTAGATCCACCCTCACCTCACCGGATTCACAGTCCCCATGATGGATGGTGGCCCTCATTCTTGGATCTCATCTGTGTCAGCACCTCCATACACAGCGCTTCAGCCCCACCTCTTCACACTACCGGGAAAACGTCCTTTGCCGAGATCCTATATTTTTGCCGAGAGCAAAAACGCGGGCTCTCGGCAAAGAAAACGTTTGCCGAGAGCGTCTATCGGCAAACATCGGTTGTCGGCAAGTGACAGGATCGCCGTGGGCCTGCATCTCGGCAAGAAACAGCTCTCGGCGAAGTGGGCCGTTTTGCCGAGAGCCGCTCTCGGCAAAAAATGCCCGTCGGCAAAACGGTCCTTTGCCGTAGGCCGCGCTCTCGGCAAAATAAGGCTCTCGGCAAAACATTGCCGCGGGCCCATAGCCGTAACCTGCCCTGACGGCGTCACCGCTTTGCCGAGAGCCCCTCGTTACTACTCTCGGCAAACCTCTTTGCCGAGAGCTGCTCTCGGCAAAAATTTGCCGAGAGCCCCTCCCAGGCTCTCGGCAAATGTGGTTTCTATATTTCATGTGTATGTGTTTCTCTTCTCCTAACTCTCTCCAATTAAATAATTTTTTATTTCATATGCTCCAAACTTTTTTCTCTACAGACATACTACAGGTTGTACTCAATATTAAAATTTTGTATATTTTTGTAATTATTTGCTATATATAATTAATTAATTGCATTTCTATGAGTTTTTTTAATCGATTAAAATTTGAATAGCGATTGATTTAAACACGGGAAAAAAATTAAGTAGAAAATGATATTCATGCTATTTATGCATTATTGAGGGCAAATAACATCTTGTTGATGTTTTTTTCACCTTTTATTTTACGAATCGAAGACCACTAACATATGTCGCCCAACGATTTAAAAATTCTTAAAAAAGGAAACGAAGTCGGAAAATTATGATATTTGCAATGAAGTCATGGTATCACACTTGGTGGCTGTGGTAAAAAATTGAAAATGTTTCGCACAAGTGGTTGCGTATGATTCTTATAATCTGAGACATCTCCGAATAAGTTTCATAAAGTTGAGAAGGAGTCATTAGGATTTTCAAACAATGTCACGGTCGAATTAGTTTTGGAGTTCCAAACTTTTTGTATAGCCATTAGATAGCATAAGTTGTAACACGGCAAAAATTCGTATTTTTTAGAGCCGTTTGTTGTTTATTAATTTTTTTTTGGATTTGGTTTGCCGAGAGCTTCAGGGGATTGCTCTCGGCAAAGACTCTTTGCCGAGAGCAACTAGTCCCGCTCTCGGCAGCATTTTTTTTTACCCGGCCCGGATCAATTTTTTTGCGAGAGAGCGGGCTCTCGGCGAATAGGTTTGCCGAGAGCTACTCTCGGCAAATAATAATTTTTATTTTTTATATTTTTTGTGCAGTTAGCTAGTTAAAAATTCGAACCGAATTTGAAAAAAATAACTTTACCGAGAGCCGGATCTGGGGCTCTCGGCAAAGGGAAGGTTTGCCGAGAGCCTCCCAGATCGGCTCTCGGCAAAGTGGCTTCACCACTTAAACGTTTGGCGCAGCCCATAAGCCGCGTGAACTGTTCGGCCGCAGCCCGCCCGCCGCCGCAGCCCGCCACGCCCAGCCGCCAGCCTGCCGCCGCCACCACCCGCCCGAGCCAGCCCGCCCCATCCTGCTCCGTGCCTCCGTCACGCCCAGTCAAGGTCGCCGCCGCCGCGCCCAGCGCCGCGCGTCTTCATCGTACCCCTTCGTCAGTCTTTGTCGGCCACCCAACAGGTATGCCCACCCCTTTCTCTTCCCTTTATGCTTTGTGAATTTGTATTCGGATCGAATCTAATTTCATTTCAGCATGCGGTTCTGCATCCATTGATCTGCTTTGATTTGAATGTCGTATGCTATGTATATAAAATGCAATTAAATTTAAATAACTATCATTATTATTAGAGGTAACTGTGAGGGTAAGATCTTTTGCTGCATGTCATTTGCTTGACAGTAATGTAGTGTGGTTTTAAGCTCAGACATTTTGTTTATCTCAGATGTTTAAACTCATATGACAGTTTCTCATATGTTTAAGCTCAGGCGAGAGTTACTAGTAGTTTCTTTTTCTTCCGTACTGATGATTCTTGGCTGCTATGGGCTGGTGATTGATATGGAATGATGAAACAGCTACTGAGCTGGCACCTGTGATGAAACATCTAAAGAATTTAATTAAAACTTCTTCCTCGTGCACAGTTGCAATGTATCATGTAGTAGTACTTTGTTTTCTTGTCAAATAAACTAAGTTATCTCCGTGAGCAAAAAGAGGCTAACTGGATTATAATGTTAAAAATAGAAATATCCGAATTTGTATTTCTTAAAAGGAGAATTCCTGCATTTACTAAATTACTGTGCATCCTAAATCCATTTGTCACATTGTTTGCTATAGACAAGCAAAGTGTCTGAAAATTATTTGCTGGTTAAAATGATGAGAAGGCAAAATAGGATTAACAGGGAATGTATTGCTTGTGAATTCAAACATGTACTGTTCCACGAGAAGCGAACTTGATTGAAATGATGCACAAACATATTTGCCAATTCCCTTTGTGCCACCAGATATGGCAGTGGAAATTGTGTAAGCTTTCTGGTCGAAGTCATACAATTTTCTAAGCTTGATAGTGTTTCTGAATGCTGAGAACGAAAAAATGATGGAACTGAATGAGATGGGAAAGATAAGTTTTTTATCAGCTTGATAGTAGTAGTTGTAGTAGTTAGAGTAGTAGTAGTTGATAATTAAGCTGCATGTGGTTCCTTGATATATATGTGGTTGTCGGCCATCGTGCCGTGGTTTTCTTTCAGGTTTGGAAACCTCACCGTTCAGGGGAGATGCTGCCGAATTTTTGAGTTGACGTTATTTTGCTTCTTTCTTTCTTTTTGCAGGAGCCGAGTCGGAGTACCCCGGTGTCCCCAGGTCTGCCCGCACCGCGTCGCCTCGCCACTGCACCGACCCGCCACGGCCCCGCTAGCCTGACTTCACCGCCACCTAAGGTATAACCACTCTTTCTTTGTCCTGGTCATGTATCTCCACGTAACCCAGTTAGGTGTCTCCCGTTCGAAAGAGATACGGTTAGAAATATGCAGATCTTTGCATATCAATAACCGTATCTGTTTCGAAAGATGGTACATCCAGCCGATGGTGAAGCATGGCATCACTTTGATAACATTCATCGTAACAAAAGTGGGGAGGCACGTAATGTGCGTGTTGCACTGGCAACAGATGGGTTCAATCCTTATGGAAAGATGGCT